TGCTGTATATTTTGGCGGCCATTTTGATTTTTCAATAACAGTAAGGTGCTAGTATGCAGTCAGTTTTCCTACTGTGTTCTTCCGACAGGAAATACATTCAAAAGAGCCACAAATAAAGTATATACGTGGAAGTCTGTTTTTCTATTATCACCACAATACTGACGGCCACATTAGAAAGCTCAATGTCTCGGAAGTATCAACCAAGCTAATTTTACCTTTCTATCCCTAAAGGATGCAATTCTGTAATAGTTAACAGGAAACAACATTGCAGGGTTCTACTATTGGGCCTGTGGGATGAGTACGTATTCGTAATTGTGCAGTATCACCCAATTCACATTGTGCAATATCACCCAATGACGTCATCATGACGTAATTGTTGCTCTCATGAATGTGCACAGTAACAGTACTTTCTAAAATTTATTCATGGTATCATACATGTAATTAACGCTGGTATCCTCGTTTCATGAATTCCACCCTAGGTTCTTGATTTCGGTTCCCAACTTGATATTGATTTCATACTCCACATCAAATAACACTGTGATGCTAACACGTGAAAAGGTATAGGCAAGTCAATAAACAACTTAGGTTGGAAAAAATTAGCGACAAAGGTTTCTCAACTGATTCTGGTCCTCATTGGGGAAAATATGCTCGTTTACTGGCCTAATAGTGAGCAAGCTAGCTTTATGGTGCCCTGACACTCTGGCTAGTGAATTCTGACTGTACACAAAAACGCCGAGGCAGCATATTTTTAGCAAAACCTCTTATCCGGGTACTAATATTTCGGAGTTGCCCCCCCCTCCTCCCCATCAAAAATTGACAAACACCCAATGGTCATTCATCGCGGAAAGTTTCATGATTTTATAAACATTTGCACAATTGTTGGGCTTATCCGCCTAAATAACAGGGAGAAATTTAAATTTGCACACTGGACTGTAATGTACTTTTCTGAAAAGAGACTATTCAAAACAATGTCAACTAACTCAGTGCAAGCACATCGCCACACTATCAAGAACACGAGTGTATATATTACAAGAGGGGTCATGTCGTTACTCCCCCGCACCGTTACTCCCTCGCACCGATAACCCCCCTTAGTATTTTTTGTATTATGCGCATCGATACGACCACACACCGATAGATCCCCGCACCGGTACGCCTACGTCCCCGGACCGATACTCCCCCGCACCGGTAAGCCTACATCCCCGCACCGATACTCCCCATCAGTATATCTGTAAATTACAAGATGCCACGAATGTTCTTAAACGCAGCTATATGTCCCATAAATGACAGACATTTTAATATTGTGTGGAAACCATATACTTTTCGTATGCGTTCAGTTGTTTAACAAGGTATTTGTTATTTTTATGACAACAGGTTTTTAAGAAGAACACACAGGAAGCGGCTGAAACGAGCCAAGAGAAGATAGGTAGAGTCATACTGTCGGCTTTTGAAAAGGTGGAGGCATTTGCTGTGCCTCATCCAGGCAAAGCATCTCTGCCAGATATTGCAACAAATGCTCAAAATATCGACCAGGACTTCAGTACAAGAATGGAAGAATTGATTGAATCCATCCTGTCCAGTCTAGAATGCAAGAGAGGGGTGGCTGAGAGCTCCAAGATTACAGGTATAATTATAGTGTTTTTTTCTTCTTTAATTGAAAATGAGGAAAAATGCTATATCATGCATTCATCTAAATTAGAGTATATACTTTCCTAAAAAGAAAAAAAAAAGAAGAAGAAGTCCCAGCAGGCAAATTATGTTGTTTTGACGTTGTAACAACGTTGAACCATAACGTTGATAATACTTGATGACAGTGCATAAAATACTATTCCATGATGTTTAAACACCAATACTTTTGCTTATGTGGAAATAATGACAATGTACAGAGCTTCAGGTGGATGGGAGTTAAAAGTCACATCTTGAAAATGCCAGTATTTGAAAAAAAATTATAAAAAGAAAACATAGCAGAACAAAAAAAGCACGTGAAATTGGGGGAGGGGGACAACCTTTTTGGTCAATGTTGTTTGGTTGGTTTATTAACTGGCAGGGTTTTCCCTTGTAAAAAAGTATAGGTGGTTACTTCTTTAGGGTGGTCATGGGAACGATTTCGGGAACGATTTCGTGCATTATAAGATTTGACAATGCCAAACAGCCGCTGTGCTCAGTATTTAAACTGTAGGTCATATTTGCACCAATATTTGTGTAGTTATGAGTGGAATGCTTAGTAAAAGTAAACTTATTTGTTTATTCACTACAAAAGATATAGGAATTTCTATTAAAGTTATTTCATTGGCAAAAGAAGCCTTAATTTTACATTTTATGGTCATCTTAATTATCACATTTTCTAGGAGATCAGCTTGCCACTATGCTAGAGTTCTATGTGAAAGCTGTGAATGATCCACACACCATACCTGCTATGAAGAGTGCCTGGGATGCAAGTGTTGAGTTAAGGGGCAGGAAAGTTCTTGAAGACATGGTATCGCTGTACAATGCCAAAATGAGAGTGCGTAAAATACATTCATGTTTGGCAAATTAGCGTGTTAGTGTGCATATGTGGTGGTACTAGGGGGATTAAGGGGTATTTTTTGCATTTAAATTTATTTTTTAGGGTGGTTCAAAATAGATTTTTGATAAATGCAATGTTAACATTTTTTCGAAGACCTGTCTTACAAACATGTAAGTTGGTGTAAGGTTCAATTTTCCTGGTTTGCCATCATAAATTAACTTATAAGGTGCTTGCCCCAAGCTAGCTCTTAGATGCTGAATCACTGTGGCTAGTTGCACACTGAAGTTTGTAATGACAATGTACAACATGTCATGGTGGATTATCTTAATCTGTGTTCAAACATTGTTCTTGAGAGCATCAGTAGTTTGGGATTGTTGTTATAGACACTGTGTTTTAGGTATCCCTGTACCAACCTTGGTTTGCACACTCTATAGACCTATTCCCAAAATGTCTACTAACGCTTTGATAGTAGGCCATTGGAATGATGAAATTCAAAATTTAGGGGTCGATAGAGAGGAGGGATGGAGTTGATTCCTAATTTATTTGACAAAGTAATTTCTGCTTACTTTCCACATGGGCGAATACAGAGATTTTTCTGACAGTCTTCCAAATTATCTTCGTTGATCCATCCTCCATTTTTGACCATCTTTCGACTGAAAAAATTAGATACCCGTCACTGTAAACTTGAAAATCTGACCGTCTTCTGGATCTTCCAGAAGACGGCCTAAATCTGCCCCTGTTCCAAGACTATTATAATGAGGAAGTTCAGTTTTTGGGTATTGGAATATCTATCATAAATGATATACATGGGCCTCTTGGGGTTGGGCTTCTCTTGGAGGTGGAATAATTCTAAATTCTTTTACATTGTATTTTCCGCTTTCTAGACCATAAGAGTGAGAAAGTTCAGCCTTTGGAAATTGGTACAGGTAAACCTTTCAATACAAGATGCTACATTATCAAAAATGGAAATTCATATCTTCTGTGGGAATGATAGATCGACCTACCAGTATTATTAGGGATGTGCATTGGACTTAAAATTTTCAATGTCTTTGGTTAGCGTAGTAGATGAGTATTGGGCTTGTAAGGGTTTGCGATCCCTAGGGAGGTAATACTATGAAAGCACTTGGTAAAGGAATAAAGTCAGTTGTAAAGATATTACAGATAGGAATGTTCCCAGGGATGGATTATTTTAATTTTCTTAATTGTACCTTCAGTTATATAATCCTAGACCATGAGAGTGATACAGATAAAAGTTTTGAGATTCATTGATAAATTATATTTTAATTTATGTGCTCAGTGGATGGTCCATCCCCGGGGTGGATGAATGATTTTTTTTACATTATAAGCTTTTTTCATTGATATTTTAATGCTGTCATCATAACTATTACTTGCAACAATTTTTCATAAAGAACCCAGGCTTTGTCACAGCTAGATATCAACAGAATGGAGTCCCTGAGGGTGACCTATTCTTTACAATGTGGGGAAGTGGGGGATATGCAACGGCTACCCATCAACACCATCTTTTAAAATCATGTGTAAATTTCTGAATTTTCCTAAAATATAATATCTAAATTAAATTCTTTAACCTTTCATCCTGTTGCTCAATATCAAAATTAAGTAATAATCTATGCCAAAGTTGAAATTTTTGTGTTAAGAAAAATTAATTGGCCTGAATAATAATGCATCAAAATTGACAAAACAAATTTTGTGCACCATGATTTTAGATACAATAAAAGAAAAGCTGTGTTAATTTTAAATGTTCTCAAACCTACAGGAATGATACATAAGATTAAAATATAGCTCTAGTTCAAGAGCCAAATTGATTAATATAGGCCTATAGGTAATTTTTGTGAGGTTGTGAATATTTTTTTAATGTGTAAAGAATGCATTTCCCTTATAACATGTACATGTGATCATTTGATAATTTACTTTAAAAAATAGCCATTAATTTTAAAATGACCTTTATCACTTGAATAAATAATACTAGATAAGACAAAGGTAGGTGACTGCCCATGGCCCTCCAATGGCAAAACTAGGTGATTGCTGTCTGCCCTTGGTCGGCAAGTTGCCACAGTGACTAGTGAAACAAGGGCCACCAAAACAGCAGCTGAAAGGCTATATTTAATATATAATGTTTTGTGTTGCACCCAGAGCAAGCTACCAGGTTGAACCTGAGAGGAAAGAATTCTCTATTACATCATAATGTGCATATCTACTGGTAGTGGTATTGACATGGCATAATAATAATTTAAGATTGCAAATATATATAATTTACTATTGTGTGTGTGTGTGTGTGTGTGTGTGTGTGTGTGTGTGATCAGTGGCTTGTTTTGATGAGTTTTTAACAAATCCATTAAATTGATTTGAGATAAAAGAGCAGTAGTCTGCCAAGATGTTAATTACCCGGTATTTGTCTTTGTTCCAGTTGTATTGAGTGTAGTGCTACATGTAGCAAGTCACATGATATATATATATATATATATATATATATATATATATATATCCTGTAAAGTGTCATTGTTGCAATTTTACTTTTGCGTAATGTAAGCTTATGCAGATTATTTACTGTTAACAGTAATGAAGCAACAAACACAAATGGGACTTTGCCAAATGTTAATAATTAAAGCCATTGTTTACATAAACATGTACTCCCTAAAATTTGCCAGTGTTATATATTAATGAATATCCTCTAGTATAAACAAATATAAGTATATCCTTGTCTCACTAAATATTGAAATATGTGTGGATAAACTAATGAAGGTGTGGTAAAAGTACCTCACCCATATTATTTTTCATGTAGGAAGCAATAGAGAAGGCCTGCCAAAACGGATCTGAGATGCTCCCCATCGAAGAGAGAGATTGGGGTGATGCTAAAAAGTAAGATTTATGCAATAAAACATTATAAAGAGATAAATAACTTGTTTCTCAAACTCCTTAGACCTTAAAATTGCCCCCAATTAATAAATAAATAAAATAAAAATCAAAAATAAACACTTTGAAACAAAATGTACTGAAATCAAAGTAGAGCAAAAGCATTTTTTATAATTTTTAACTGACAAGGTCAGTCATTGGATGTCATTTGTATTCAAGACAAAATAGAGGATCTAAGAGGCGATACCACCTCCAGGTATTGTACCACCATAAGGTCATTCCTATGGAAAACAAAAAAAAAGGAGCGATCACCTCCAGCTAGCATTGTGCTTGAGGAGCTTAAAATGCATTTAGCAAGCGTTTCCTTTTTTTTGTGGAAAATTACAATTTATAACAAAATTGTTGCGAGAAGTGAAAGCCAAGGTTGCAGTAGAATGAAAATATAGGACTTCCCATCCAAGTTTAATAAAAAATACAAGAGCTTTTAAATTTGGGAAGTGTGGTTCATGGTTAAAAGAAGGCCAAAGGTTGAATTCAAGGTCACAGGAACACTGTCAATATTTGAGTTCCTATTCGAATTCAATAGTGCCTGTATGGGCATATATCTGCCAGTTTTGGAGATGCAGGGGGCGAAAATTTTGCAAATTGTTCATGGTGAAAGGTAGGTCAAAAGTCGATTTCATTGTTGTAGTTAGATTGCCAATATATAACTTCCTATTCAAGTTCAATAGTAACTATGGGCATATTTATACTAATTTTGGAGCATTCCACATTTTTTTCACCATATTGAGACATCATACTTTTTCATATATCGCAACTTTTTAACATAAAAAAAAAAAACATAAAGCAGACACCACTGTCAGTTGTGTGCTTGACAAGCTCTACAGAGTTTTCAGTTTCGGCATCTAATGGCTGCCTAATTCTCCTGTGATAATGCACCGATTGACCTCAAACTCAACAACGAAAGAAGTTCCTAATTGCAACCCCTCACTGTAATATGAGAAAATGAGAATTCTTGTTTACTGCATTTTGTACAGTTTGACAAGCACAACACTGGAGGTGGTGTCCACCTTTTTTTGTTTGTTTTCCATATGAATGTTCTTTCTCCAGCTGGTGGTACAAAACCCAGTATCGCCTCTCTGATCCTCTAGTTTGATTTTGCAACATTTTCCCCATAAATGCCAAACTGCATTTTTTGTCTTTCTTCAAATTTACTAATGAGATTCATATATAAAAAGAAAAGACATGCAGTTGAGTACTAAAGAATTACGGAAATGATTAATTGTCAAAAAAGTTATTTGCATATATTGGGCTGTTATGCAATCAAGTAGTCCAATGTTTTCTTTATAAATAAGCAAATAAAAAATTGTTTAATAATTAGTAAAAGGATAATTGGTCAATATTACAATTTTGTCCCGTCTTATTTTAGCTCACTGGAAGTCCCCTTTACATGACATTGCCCTAGAAAATCTTGGTAGCTGCATCTCAAATTACTTTAAAAAGAGCTGGAACTCTCTTCTCGTATGATTATCTTCAGAGGATCTCCTCAGTAAGGAAAATTTAACCTCTGCCTTCAGCCACAGTCAGTTATCCCATCTTTGTGTTATAACTATAAGAGGTGACCTCTGTCAGCTAAAGTGAATAAATGTATAGAAACAACTCTTTGTAAACAGTTTTCTTATTTTCAGACACAACTTAATGGGCATCCATGATGCTGTAATGGACAATGTTCGAAAAGAGTTAAAGAGGCTGCTCGAGTTTTTTGGATATGATGAAGATGAAAAAAATTCGAATGATTCACTTTTCCTTGAATTAAATGAAAGAATAGGTGAGGAAGACGAAAACAGATTTACGCATTAAGTTTTTGGGAAACCATGTGTCCACAATCTATATAATACAAATCTATGGAAAAGAAAATGGGAATCTTTTACAAAAACTAGAAGAGCGCAGACCTCCGCCAAGGCAGCAATTATTGATTGTTGATTATCGATCCGGATCACCACCAAAAAGTAATCACTTCTAAGTTAACCCATTTCTGACCTACCCTGAAAATTTCAACAAAATCGGTCCATAATTTTTTGTGTTATGTTGATGATTGATTTTTAATTATTGGTTATTGATTGATTATTGGTCTGGATCACCACCAAAAACTAATCACTTTTAAGTTAACACATTTCTGACCTACCATGAAAATTTCATCAAAATCAGTCCACAACTTTTTGAGTTATGTTGACTGCAGACGAACAAACAAACAAACAGGAGTGAAAACATAACCTCCTTGGCAGAGGTAATTAACTTAGAGGGTGGGCATGCATATTTTAACCCATTGTTCGCTGATAAATTATTCCTTTGGACATTACTAGTCGCAAACATGATATTAAAAGTTCATCCATTCTTTCCCTCTTACATGACCTGGGGAAGTTGAAGAGCAATCAGTTTTCCATGTTTCCATATATAAATTAACCCCCCACCTCCCATATATATATATATATATATATATATATATATATATATATATATATATAATACAATACATGAGGTGGAATAACTGTTTGGAAGTCTGCAAAACATATTGACCAAAAAAAAATCTATTGTACATATGTCTTGGAATCACTTATATTTAATGACAGTAGGCATGTGTCAAACTATTGTGTTTAAAATGCAGATGTACCCCAACCTCTTTTGAGTAGCATATATATACATTAGCTGCACTGATCATTAGAAGAATGCAAGGAAGACATAAAAGCCATAATAATTAATGTTGGGACATTTTAAAAGATATTTGAACTCTTCATCTTGTTTAAGAGTTAAAATATTGTAGTCATTTTAATGATTTTATTATATTAGCCATTATTGTAAGGCGCCTTGAGATAGAATGTAAGGCGCCATATAAGAATCTTCACCTTCTTCTTCTTCTTCTACTTATTATTATTATTAAGATATATGGTATTAATAGTAGATAATGTTTGTTAATAATGCAGTATGTTACAGGCTATAATTTTTTTATTGGTTTTCAAAAATGTCCATTTTATCTTTAAACTGTAATATTCACCTTGCTTTTCCCATATAGTTATAAGGGACAAAAGCGAAAATCAGAAGAAAGATGCTATTATTGGTGGGGAACTGCACTTTTACCTTAGGGAGAATCGAGAAAGGTCTCGTGTTTACTGTGAGAAAGTGTTTCAGACACTTTTTGATGAGTTGAAAATACGTCTGAACCCAATACCAGATGGCTACACAGAGAAAATGCTGCAAGAAGAAGTAGATGAGCTGAAAAATTCTTACAAGAAACAAGCTATAGGGCCTGCGAAGATTGACGTACTAAATGAGAGGCTACAGTCATCAGATATGACTGGATTCTTTCAAATGTGCAAGGTATATTCCCCTGGAATGTTATGAACATTACATAGTATGTTATTTTTCTCTAATATTTTGATGCTTCTGAATTTTTTTGAAATTGATGACAGAGTTGAGGTACTATATGGTTTTATGAAATTGTCAGAAAAGGTAAAAATTCATGAAATTGCTGGTCTAAAATACAAGTTGGTAATACTATGCTCACAATTGAAATCAGTAAAATACTGTACAAACCAACTTTTTTTATGATTGGAAGCTAATCACTGACCCCTTTGCCTTTCAGGCAATCCAAGGATTTCAAATGCAAATCAATGAGACAAATAGAAAACACGAAGCATTAAGTTTACAGAATGAGATACAGAAGCGTAAGCTGCAAGAGGTTGAAGAGGAATCTGCTAGAGAGAGGGAAGAGCATTCAAAGGCATTACAGGACATGGCGGAAAACAACCGGATAGGTATTGAAAAGGTTAGAGACTTTCAATTACATCAACTCATTAAGTTAAAAGTAGATACCTATATCACGATGATAACTTTTTCGTGTGCCAGCAGAACTGCTTCTGAAAAATCATACAGTCATGACTTTTGCTAAGATATATATATATCTTTCACAGTAGGGGGAGGGAGGGCAAGTTGAGCCATTTTTTTATCTTGGCATGTTATATCTCAGGCCCATAGGCAGCAATTTAAAAAGGGGGCTATTTTTCTGCAAAAGTGGACCTTTTCCCATCAAAACTTCATGTACATAGATCTAATTTTACCCAGAGTGGACCTTTTCCCAGCAAAAGGGGCAGATCTTTTGAACCCCCTGAACCTCCCTGGCTACGGGCCGGTATCTGAAGGCCTTAAAGGATTCTGGCCACGTAAAAATCCATTTCTCGAATTTTGAATACCCAGTACTCAATCTATACACAAGAGATATGTTTTAATATGCAAAAATGAAGCAACAGATCTGAGTCAGGCGGTATTGTGACGACATAGACGATAAAGGTCTTATAGACTCGATCAACTGAGCTGCATTCTGAATACAGACAGAGGAGTTTAGGAAAGTTATGTTGAACAGGGTTGGGCATTTGTTGTTATGCCTCATTGTGTTGCCATGGGATTCACGCAGCAAAGGATCTGGCATTTGTCAACAATCTTCTTTCTTTTTCTGTTACGGTCTTCCGTGACTTTTTTACTAACTTCTGTGACAATAGATGTGACGCTCGAAATTATGGTTGCTTCAAGGGGTTTAGATCATATCAAAAGCTGAAAGTCTTTCAAATTAACTGTCATCAGTTGACAAGCTTACTAAATGCATGGTAGTTGACCGCTTGAAAATGGGTAGTGTGATCCGATCTACCGGTGAATTCAGGATCATTCAGTGCCAAGTCTGGTAGTTGGGTAGGCCTGTGCTTTCCATTTCTCAGATAGGGCTATAAGTTGCTGGTGAACTAGGGTGTCAGTCAAAACTTAATGCACTATTTTTGCAGCCTCCTTTTTCCTTTTTTCCCCTTTTTTCTTGCTGGTGCTTTTGCAAATGGGTAGACATCAGACAGTGGTATGTTTATAGAGGGAACACAACAGGCGATGCACTGAGTAAATTGGGTTTACTGGAGGTTCACAGTTAAATACCAACTGCTTGCTGTTGTTGAGGAAGGGCAAAATCATTTTACTGACCAGCAGTAAGTCTATACTAATGTGGCTTGCAATGATGTGCATTGGCATCATAGCAGTGATTATGGCATACAGTAGTAGTAAAAATTAAGTTTCCGTTGTACGACGTTTTAAAAACGTCAGAATGTTTTAATCCCTATCCTGTGAATAGAAGGGGGCGGACAAACAATGGAAAGCAGTCTAATCCCTTTAAAATTCTAACGCAAAAACACAATAGTTTAGGCGTAATAACACACAATACCTTAGGCGAGTGAACCCCATGACGCCTGTTTCTGTGGTCCAGCGCGAGCGCGACAATCCACTGTGTCTAGGTGTAATTAACAGCAGGATACATCAGCCAGAAGGTGCCCATTTTTTGTTGCGGCGATAGGATTATAGCTTTAAGATGCTAGAACCCATGCTAACGCGTCCCACTCCCGTGGCCACCTATCCTTATGTTCACTAGCTTGGCACGCGCAGCTGATCATGTTTTAAGTGTTGCAAGAAAACTGCTAGTTTAATTTAGTATCAGTTATTTAATTCAATATGAAGTGTTCTGTGGTCAAAAATTGAATTTGATAAACATGCATCAGCATCGTACATCAGCATGATCAACAAAGCACCCCAAGGCGTCTCAAAAAGTTAAAAGATGCTCCGTACACAAATTTCCATCATCGCGACCTGTGTAAAAATAGAATATTGTTTAGAAATAACGAAGAAAGAGACAAGCTGACGTGTTGTCTCAACTACTTCATTAAGTCACATTTTATTTAAAATAATAGAGCGAATCCGTAACAGGATAAATAATAGAAAGTCTTAAATGAATAAATAAATGAATAAATAAATAAATAAATAAATAAATTATTTAAAGAATTAAGTTAATTATTAGATGACATTAAGAATCAAATAAAAAATAGATAAAAGTTATGTAATTATGTCGCTGTTCAGTAACACTTATAAAGGAAAGTTAAAAAGGAAAGTTAGATTTTGCTTGTATGAAACACGCTTTTTTTATTTTGATAAAAATCGACTGCGCATGGAGCATAATTATATAGGCTTTCGATGATGATCGTGCATGAAACGTCAAGGCATTTTCTTTTTTTATAATAGTGCTGGGCACCCAGGTCTTGAATCTTTTACTCGACGTGCATCTCCTACTATTGTATAGGCATGATTTCAGGTTGTTCGGGAGCGATGACGATTGTGTTCAAAATGGGTTGTTTGCAGCATAAGGCCCTTATGCTTTGTGATATATGTGAATAAACCTAGCTTACTCATTAACTATTACCAAAGTACGTAAAGCAGGGCATTAGGTTTAACAGTCTAAGATTTATTCAATATAGGCAGTTAACTTGGACCAGTCTTGTTTCATTAACTTTGCGAATGAATCAGTCTCCGTCGTCAACGTAAATTTCCAATATGATTTTACATCATTTAGCTGATCTAACAATGTTATTGTTTAGGTTTGGTTTATATTTGTTTGAGAACAGATAATGATCGCGTTTAACAATAGATTGCGGGCTATAGTGAACCCCCTCCTCTTTGAGCGATGTCTAATACTGTTAAATCCAGCGTACTTTCATAAACATGTAGTGTGACCACACTGTCATACATCCCCCTTGTTGCACGTTGCAAGCGATTTGTCTCATAACTATGACAAGTCGTTCTTTTTTCTAGTTGTTGTTTAAAAACGGATCAACTTGTCAATGCTAATTGCTTAGCTCTTTGCTCGTCATATGTTTAAAAACGCTAAGATATGAATGTTATAGTTGTTTGTGCCCGGGTATCGCACTTATGCTTTCTTACTAGAGCGATCTAGAACTAGCCGCCACTTTACCCTGTTTGTAACTGTAGCAAAATATGTTCGACATGCAGTTTCTGCACGACAGCCGGAGACACAGTTTGTTGTTTAGGCATGGTTTAAGCTTGTTCGAGAGATAATAACAGCCGCGTTTAACAATAGATAGTATGACCCCCTACTATTTAACTGATGTCTTACACTGTTAATATTGATCGTACTCTCATATATTATGTAATACACTGTCAGACTTTCCCCTGTTGCACGTTGGCGTTGGATTGTACTTGTGCCTCTGTCAATGCACCTCATTTAGTTTAAATAATTTTTACCGCATAAACCTTTGTGGTTTATGGTTATTAGTTACAGTAGTAGGAAGCGGATGCCTGGGCAAAAAGGTTCTAGTCAACTCGCTTAGACCTAGGGTGTGATGCTGCTATCATCCGAGGAAACACCTACACTGAATCCTCTACCTGAAGTCCCCCTGGCTGAAACAAAACATACCCCTTGAACCTGTCCATTTTTTAAAGCATCAAATCATTTCTGATATCATTGAGCGTCTTTTTTAAACCAAATTTTTTCATGTTACAAACACCGTGTGGTGATTATTTATTAAAGCATAGGTTTATGCATCATGATCTATTTTGTAAACAACACTTGCCTATATTTTACTTGGATTGATCATCGTCACTGTTGGCTACTAGCCTATAATGCATGCTGAACGGCAGGCAACTTATAAATATTATCTGTGTAAATGACCACGTTAAGTTTAAATAGAACGATGTCGGTGATTTAATCCATCCAACATACTTGTATTTATTCTTTTAAAACCAGTGTCAGGTTTTAACCTGATAAAACACAAAGTCAAAGCAAGTCTTGCAGACTGATTTTGTTTAAATTGTCGTAAAATAAGTAAAGCTAAGTAAAGCCTGTTTCTAGTTCATCCAAGCTATAAAACTGCATGAAGGATAACAAGTCTCTGTAGCCAATTAACTTTCACATTGCCCTGTGCTTTAGAGTCCCGTGTAATACCATAAAATCAGTATGGCCTGAGAGAAATATAAATATGAGGACGTGTATGAAAGATGTTTCAAATAATAAAAATCAAGAATTTAAACATATTTTTCAGATTAACCTCCACTATTATCGATCTAAACGCCTTGTCTGATGTTTACATGTAGGCGAGGGAGGTATACTCCAATATTAATTGCGACTAATATCAACAGCGACTCAAAATCGTTGCCTGTCTTTCACACTTTTACACAAACTCATGAAGGGTTAATAAAAGGATTCGCGTCGCGACATCTATCTCTTTTCTTCGAACAAGCAAAGGGCTGATCCGAAGTTTCAAAATTAATTTCTCTTTGACTGTACAGGGGTATGCCTATATTGTAATTACTCCACTTGGTCGCCTCCATTGTCTTGTAAAAGTAACAAAGAATGTGTTTTCACACGTGAGTTTACATAACTCCTTGCCTTGTGTCTTTATCAAGGTTATGATCAGTTTGAATTGACCCATTAGAGCCTGCGTCATCAAAACAAACGACAGCCATACTGGAGGGAGACCGGAATCGTCTGCTGCGCATGAACAAGCCATGTCTGTAGTTCAGTTTTCGTTTTCTGTATTTTTTTTCATATTTAACCGAGCAAAATGATGAATTACTGCAGGGTATTTGATCGAGAGAAGGTAACTTACTTTACAAGCGTTCACGGACTGCCTGCAGTGGTAAAAATTTGTCTTGCCTCACATAAAAAGGGAGTTGTTCTTCACACTGGTTGTTGCATAACTTATGCTAACCTACTTTGTACAAATATGGTTTTAATAAATCGCCAAAATGATGACACAAGTGAACATTGTGTATCAAACGTTTTGATACAATTAAATAAATGCGCAAGAAGGGTTACGGAATGAGTTACTATTTACCTCTGGCGCTAACTTCGAACTGCTACATAAATAAGCAAATATTGCAGATCGTAACAAAAATACTTGATTGTAGAGTTTTTATGACATATGATTTACATATTTGATATTGAGACATTTATCGGCTTTGACGAATCACCCGGCGTTTACTGTGTCCCCCACTGTACTGTAGCTACTATATGCCGTTCCTCAAGTTGGGTCTGCTGGGGGAGGGGGGCATTTAAATGATAAACTAAGAAGTCCACCTGTAAAGCAGCAGCGGTTTACATGATCGCTATCTCTGATCCCTTTTCTTTGACAGCATCATAGAAAATGTTAAGGGAGAAAGTGACACATATCCCCCGGCGTTGTTGTGTCTTCAGCATTTCCTCATTCTTGCTTGCTATAAATTATTATCGCCAATTAATGAAACCGCGAAAGCAATTAAGTGATGGCACATTGAATATATTACTAGGCGCATTTCGCTGAGTGTTAACAAGATCTAGCAAAACATTTTATCGCCACGCGTTCAAGTCTGATAAATCAGGGGATTTTTTTGTGAATCGGGGAATCAGGAGATATGTCCCTAGATGGGGAGATTTTCGAGAAGACCGGTAGTGTTGTAAGGTCTGAGGAATTAAGTCAGTAAAATGTAAAGGCTAGCATAGATTATCATACAATTAATGGTATCATACGTGCCTTAGATCTTCAGTGTGTTCAATAACGAGAGACGCAAAAACGACAAAATGTAAGCAAGGAGGCGTGTGTTTGTTTATGGGGCGAGGGGGCAGTTAGAGGTATTTGTTTGTGTAGTTGGCGAAAATAAAAAAAAAAGTCTAGAATAGTGTACGTTCACGTTTACGTAGTTGAACATGGAATATACGGCTCCTACATGCACCTACACACAGATAATAAAAAACATGAGGCTAGAAACGAAATTTGTTTAGAAATTTAAACTGTCACTCTGGTGGCACAGCGTCATGGCTATGAATCTGACATGGAGTTTAGTCCGAAATATATGTGAATTTAGAACTAATAGCTAAAACGTTAATCTGCCCTAATTTGTCAGATAACAAAAAATGCCGGTGATCCAACTATGAGTAATGTATTTAAAGTACGGCCGATATGCAATGGGCCCTTTCGGTTTATAATTGCATACCTTGATGCAAAACAGCCTATCGTTTCTTCCACCGCGAGTCCCTTTAATAAATGTATTATATTACTATTTACCCTTTTTATTTGACACTGTCTCTGTTTCTCTCCCTTTTTCCTTTCTCTTGTAGGAAGGAGGGTAAATAATTAAGCACTCAAAATATGCATCACCAACCTTCAGAATAGAAAAAGTCAAATAACAGCTTTCGCAAATTTAACTGCAGTTAGCTGCATAGTGTCACTATATACATAATCCGCTGCACGCGCAAAGCTGTTGAACAAAAGAATAGTTTTCTATAGAAGACCTTTTGTTTACATAAGTACTCCAAGGGGGCGTGCCTACCCAGGCGACAAGGGGATTTGGCTACTCACTATATTCCGTCAAAATCGTTTAGCGACCCTATCATTATCACACTCCCTCTATTGTATTTTCTGACGTTATAATTGTATCTAATCTTCTTATGGTAGATGGAAAAAATGCACACATATATAATCTTTTGACTGTAGTTAACTAGGGTTGGAATATGCAGATAGTTACTGTGTTCCGGGAGTTAGAAAGGAGCCATCCATCCATGGCTTTGTTATGAGCAGCCTTAGAGCCCAATCCCATACCTAGATTGATCTAGTAGAATTGGTCCATCTCCAAGGGAATTCTTGTTAATTGCACTCAGCTTAAGTAGCTTAGATGTCTGGCATGCCTACTGAAGCTGGTAAGTGATAGTTAATTAATTACCCCCTAACAGATGGAGATGGACCTACCCTGCTAAATCGAACTAGGTATGGGAATGGGGTCTTGAACAGCCCGAAAACTGATTGATCGAGAGGCTGGATGCAGTGTGAAGTGTGGGGTGGTATCATCATTAGGATAACGAATGTTTTGATACTCAAAATTATATACTTAGTACCAGTATGCATCTTGAATAAAAATTGTGTGAAACCTTTCAATTTTTACAATTCTAGATGCTAAATATCCAGGAGGAGAACAGGTTGAAACATGAAAGAAAAGTCAAAGAACTCTATGAAGCTAATCATCAACGTATAGCAGAAATGACAAAGGTTTGTTTTAAAGGCATACAATGCATGTTTGGCCTTTTCCTAGTCAAAAGGAGTTGAGCTTGGGTATTTCCATTTACCACCAAGGTATACCCTATCTAAGACCATTGGTAAAATAATAATGATCATTTGGACCATTATAGAGATCTTAAACATGAATTAATATTTTACTGTGATCTTTTAAGATATTGAAATATTTTAAATTAGCTATTTACTTATTGACTTAATTCATCTTATTCTGTTAATTTTACCCATGTATAGTTTACTGAACATTTAAATTGGTTTCAGACTACAGTATAAATAAGTATCGTTATTATTATGATTATCATTTTTATTCAATCTGAACATAATACAATTAATAACAATAGTCAGATTGTAAAGTAACAAATATGGACAAATTTTGTAGTTGTTGCTATGCCAAATAAGTTACAAATCCCGTCTGTCATCAAAAAAGATGCTGACTTACAAATATTGCTGATTTGCTTTTCAAAAATTCCAGTTGAATCAGACCTACATCATCATCACACTGTCAGATGCTTTCAGGCCATTCCGTGGTATTTGGTCCGCACACCTCTAAATTAAAAAAAACACTCCTACTTACAAAACTCATAATTTCTCAAACCAGACACCACAAGACACTAGAAGCCAAAAGAAATTTTAGGTTTTGATGATTAATTATGATTTTATTGACACTTTTATCAGGAAAACTTATAGAATATATATAAGAAAATAATGATATATATATATATATATATATATATATATATATATATATATATATATATAAACACGGAATGGCACTACCATATTGAAAACGTGTTACTGCTCATCGCACAGTTATCGATGTCTTTGTAGAAAGTCAATGTGCCATGAATTTCGAACAGTAGAAAATAATTAAATATGGGGAAAGATCGCTTTTGCCGAAAATTTATGACATGGAGGTGCTCAGAACTTCCAAACGTTCGAATTTCATGGAATTCTATCAATTTTGACCGGAAGTTGTGTGTTCGTCGCTAGGCCTTCGGTTATCTTCTCCCTTCGATCGAGTTACCATAATGTATGATGTGTGAGCGTCGGTAATTGCGACCAAAGGGATACACGTACTTTCACCCGATCACTGTGTACTGCCCAAGGTGCTAGATAACGAGCAGTAGGCCTACTTTTGGCTAGGGACGCAAAACAGCATCGTTATCAGTAGTGTCGTTTTTCAAAAGCGATTCTGGCAGGAAGAAACTATTGTCGTCTTTCGAAAACGATCCTGGCGCTCAGAACGGAGGGAGAGACGGCAGGCGATTAAAGTCTACCACGGCCAGATAAGCTTTACTGTGGAAGCTTAGTGTTACCGCTGGTCCTTTCTGTGCGCTAAAACCGAGGCGACAGCCGATCGGTGCCTATGGCGCACGTACAAGTAGCCTCTATCTGCAATTACCGTTGAAGTCGGGCGGAGCTTAACGCGCGAGTACGTCCTCACATGTCATCTCGCCGTGTGTGGGTCGGTGGCTTCGGCGCATACGTCGTCTACATTGCAGAAGCCGGCCTCGGCATTACGCCGTGCAGGGAGGCCACTACGACCGCAGATCGGTATGTGCGGCGCACAGGTAACCTTCACCACGGCAGCCGAACTGTGTATTACGGTCTCTCTGCCATGCACTGCGACCAAGATGGCCGCTGATTGTTGTCTGCGATCAAATATACTACGAGGGCGAGTCAATAAATAACCAGCGTAACCTACTAGTATTTCGCGTTGAGATCTACTTCTTCTTTTTCAATATAATTTCCCTCCAGGGCAATGTCCTTGGACCAACGGGTTCAAGTGCAATCAGCCAAGAAGTGAAGAAGTCAGGGTCCTTTCCATTGAACCACTCCCCAAAATACTGTGGCCATCACTTTGATAGCAGATGGTTGAGTCTTAAACTTCTTTGGCCTTGGAGAGCCCAGCCCTACCCACTGACGACTCTGGGCTTTATTTTCTGGTTCATAATAATGCACCCAAGTCTCATCCACAGTAACCAGACGCAAAAGAAATTCATCTTTTGACCTCAAACGCTTCAACAACCCACTGCATACTGATGCTCTTGTTGCCATTTGCTCCTTGCGGGGTGTACGAAATTCACGAAATCAAGATCGCGCAAATTGATCACTGACCGAAAGTCATGGTCCAAAAAAAAAAAAAAAAAAAAAAAAAAAAAAAAAAAAACTCCAAACGGCTGAATTTAAGATCGTCCGTAATTTAACAGCCGTTCGAAATTCATGGCACATTACCGTATGTAAAGTATTTAACAGAACCAACTAAGATAATTTAGTCTAACTCTTCAATTTAATAACAAAATCGTTCAAGAAACTCCCGTTACATATACATAGAGGAAAAACTGAAAAAAGATTTAAATACCAATAGATCCGATTTTTACCACTGTCCTATATATTTGCGTTCCTATGGATACGACGTCCACATAAACCCACGTCGTTTAAACCTGCATACCTATAGATCCACGTATTTTCAGATCCAAATACCGATAGATCCATTGCAGGTCCACTATTGCTCAAAATGGTTGGTATGCTACTCAGTACATAAAATGCACTTTTTTTTTTTAAACGACAGTACACATATTAATCCCTGCATCAATTTATTATTCTACAAGATCGTTTTAACGCAATACTCGGCTAATTTACATTACTAATGCATTATCTGAGAGATATGATTTCACTAGATGTTTTGTTATTTTTATGTTACATTCATTTAGAGTTGATTATGAAGGCTTCTGACAGGAACCTAAGATTATATTTTCTTTTTATAACGATTAATCCCAGAAACACACACCACCCCCGACAATTAAGAACTCTGCAAAAGTTGATGAAATAATGTAAAGAGTTTTACAAGTAAACCCTTCCTATTTTGTTTCATTTTATACTGTGTATGATTTGTGGGCATTTGCATGAATGATTCTGCCTGTAACTGTTTTGTATACTTGATTGAAACCATTACTGTATGGTTGACAAACATACCCAAAGTTTACAGGCAAAAAATCTGAGTTAACTACGCCTGTATAGAAGTTATTTACATTGATGAAGTTACGTGTGTACATTGCGGAATGGAGTAAATGATAGTAAATGATTAGTAAATGGTACAAGTGTAGACGCGAACGTACTTGTTTGTCTACACAAGCAAAAATAACGTCAATACAGGCGTTGGGTTTACGCCGCCTGCATATTTTGGGTACTTTTACCGACCATGTTACTGCGTTGTTCCCAAAGTTGCAGAACTCGCAAGGTGACTGTGAGTAAATTTGAAGTACAAGTAAACATGTCTCTCGTGTGTGTATTTTAGGTCTTTTCAGCTTGGTCCAGCTAGGTGATTAACCTCCAAATGAAATCAATACTTTTTGCTCCTCTCTCTCTCGCTTTTCCTTTCTCCTTTCACAGGCGTGGGAAGTCAGTTTTCCTCTTTTGACATCGCAGTCGGACTGAACTTGAATCCGTTTAGGCCTACTTCTGATGAATTCTGATCATAGTATCTTAAGACATCGTAAGAAGCTCTAACTAATTGTAAAAGTGCTCTTGGATAGTTTGGATTGATGATTTAGAACAAAAATGGACTGGCAAAATTAAGTCCAGGAAAAATGCAGTTTACCCAGTTGAAATTCGTTTTCTAAGGAAATTTGCTCCTTTTTTCGAGCTTACCATACCTAATAAATAATAAGCAATAAGTATCAGGTTGTAATTCTTAAAAGATCACTACTGTAAGTGGGTGAGTACTCGCAGTCAGACTATCACTCGAAAGCCTCATACCTGTATTTCAAATTGATATCGGCATTTTAGCCAATTACGATGTCAGATAGATGGATCTAGCAGTACCTGGATCTAAAGATACGTGGAATCTGTTGGTGGATCTATTAAAAAGGTAAATTTAATAAGACGTAAATCTATTGAGACGTGTATGTATAGCGACGTATCTATCGGGACTGATATTCATTAGGGCGTTTACCTATATGGCGGTCCCCCACAAACTGGCAACACATTGTAATGCACCAATTGTATTGTTGATATCATGTAAAATTGTACTAGGCCATGATAACCTATGTTTCAGTACAGAACTAAATTGAATTTAATTAAAATATAGAGGAATATCAGATACATGTAATTTCAGTTTTACCACAATGAAATCCACAAGTTGCAATCTCCATTATGAAACAGACTCAATAACTGGAAATTTTGTACTCAAAGATTGGTCTTTGGATAGCTGTTCTGTGAATGGTTTTGGATATGGTATACACATGCAGGTGATTTATGGGAAAATGTCGAAATTTATAGAAAAACAATATTTTTGAATGCATGGTTCCCTTTCACTAATATTACAGAAACCCTTATTATGACAGTGTGATATGATTATTTTGAATGTTTCTTAAATGTAGAGTGCCCAAAAAAAGGATGAACAGAGGATGGAAATGCATCAGCAAGAGATGGCTAAGAGGCAGAAACATTTTGAGGATACCCTGGCTAAGGCCAAAATGGAACTCCAGACTTCCCAATCAGAAAACAGACGTCTTGAGGGTGAAGTATGTTCTGAAAGACAATATTCTCAAAGACTGAGGGACCGTGGTTTTTTCTGGAGATTATTTAATTGGGATCCAGCTGAATAGAAAAATGATTTTTGTGTAGAGATTGGAATTAAGGATGACTTTTACATTAATGGCCACCAAGTATGCTTTACCATAATTCTACCGGTAGCTCTTACCAAATACAAATTTCACAGTGGTTAAGTTCCCTAACGTAAGAGGTGTTCTGTAATCCAGCACCATCTCACAATACTGCTTGTAGCAAGTGAATATAACCTCTAAACAGATACTTAAGGGAGTGATCCCATAAACCTATTGCACTAGCTGGATCTATCTAACTCTGGGAAATCACTAAATTGCATTCAGTGTAAGCGGCTTAAATTTCTGGCATGCCTACTCAAGCTGCTAGGGGATAATTAATATTAGTCTCATTATATCTATCACTATTATAGTTACTCAAGGGGGCCTGCTGGATAATTACTCTCTGGTTCCTAATTGCCATATGGTTTGGAATAGTAGTACAGGGTGAAAAATGCTCAAAATTTAATAATATAATGGTCCAGAATAAACATGCAGGGTACGTGGAAATTTTGTTTGAAATTAAATAACAGTATGGGTCATTGTGACGCTCTGAGTTTTGCACTATCCAAACGTACATTGAAAACAGTAACATCTAATCAAACATTTTGACAGTTTTATTGTATAAGTTTTGAGACAAAATAATGAGATTTACCTGTCATGAACAACAAAGTCTGTCAAATTACAAGTTAACTTAGACTTTTGAAGATTCTTTTGTCTGTAGCTACTTATATTTGTCTGGTCTAACCAGCTAGTCTAAAACGGGGCCATAGCGATAGTCGGAAGGTTCATTGGTCCGAAAGTTTACTATAGAACCTTCGGACCAATGAACCTTTGATTAAAAAATCGATGAAAATGTTACCACTTTTCGGACCAATGAACCGTCGGACTATCGAGACATCCCTGTCTAAAACAGGAAATTTTGAAGTGTGGTAGAGGCTGAATACGGTATTATCCTGGAGTGAAGTGGTCATTGATTTATAAGGTTTTATAAATTCAAGCCTTAAGTTTTTTAAAGACATGATTGTGTAGATGGTGATTAACCATGGTGACTTGAATACACCAGTATATTATAAGACTAAAAAGAAATCAAGTTATTATTTTACACTATCAACTTCTGTACATGTAGCTTGATATAGGCTACTTTGGTTATACTACAGGCCCATAGCCAGGGGGAGAAGGCCTCTTTTTTGTCGGGAAAAGGTCTTCTCTGAGTAAAATTTTATCTGGGTACATGACGGTTTCATGGTAAAAAGGTTCACTTTTCAGAAAAAGAACCCCCCTTTTGAAATTGCTGGCTATGGGCCTGAGTTCAATGTACATTAATAAATAATAGAAAAAAATATTGCTATTATACTCCAGTGTTTTGGCATTAAAAGGACAATAAACTTATATAACATTGCAGAGATAGACAAGTTAAATGCTACCATTTTCTTGCCTTATCACCAGTTTACAAATGCATGATATTCACAGGGGCCGAACCAGAGATATTTACTGACAGTCTTCCAAGTTATCTTAAAGTTTGTTGACTCATCTTCCATCTTTGACCGTATTCCAACAGCAAAAATTAGATACCCGATAATGTAAACTTGAAATCTGACCGTCTTCCAGAAGACCCAGAAGATGGTCTCAATCCACCCCTGTGTCCAGCCATAATTTGGACAGCCATTAGCCCCAGTAGATGGCTGAATGACTTTTAAAACTTTTGGGTTGGTTGGTTGGATTTGCTTGAGTTTAACTCCCTGTAAATCAATGACCAATTTAAAAAAATCATATTTTGGACCCCCTCGTACCCCACATCCTTGGGAAACCCTGATTGATAGAATATTGTATTTTATTAGATTGGCAGAATAAATATATATTGAATGAACAAGGAATACAGATGATATATATTTACAGAAGAGTAAAATAGACCAGTGCTCACTTGCTCAAGAGAATTGCTATATGCATTCACATGAAAAAAAATGTGATGGTTTAAAATATGCAGTAGGATAGCAAAACGGGTATATAAATACTATGATTGACCAATAAATTAACACCATAAATCCATAATTAATATCAGCTTTATTGACTGTGTTCAGTGGTATATATTTATTCTTTTTTGTGTGTTTCCTTTGTGATTTTTCTTAATTGTGTTATCTATATTTGTGATAGACTATAACAGGTCTTAATTTGTATCTACAAGTACTTTATATGTAATTTTATGTTTATAAGAAACGTGCTAAGAAATTAAGCATTGTTAATAAGCTCAGCTCGACGACCCTTGGACGCTGGTGGTACAGGACGTGCCTTCAAGTATTGTCAAAATTTACAAAAACTAAAATCTTAAATGCATGTACTGGAAATAATTTATTTTGGTAATCTGATGATACAGATATGATTGTTAACTCTTTCCATGTAAACCAGATTTTGTACTGATGAATGTGATAAGGTTGTTCAATCAATTTTAAGTAATTGCTGACTGAATTAAAGCCACTTGTCATGTTTAGCATCCTTATGCGACACATACTTTGCTTCTGGATATAATTTTTTTAATTATGCATATTTTACAACTTCTGCAGTTAAGGTTGATGAGTGATATTTACATACATGTTATTGTTTATCTTTACATGTAACTGGGATTGATTGATGTTTTAGAATATATTCTGAAAATGACACTGGTCTTTTCTGTTCTTTTATACTTTATTTTTATAAAGACCATGTCCCATTATGCATTATTACACTGTAATTAAGAGAGCCAAACTTTACAATGGCAATGCCATCCCCTTTATCAAGGCCTTAACAATGACAACACAGTATTTGCATAGCTTTAAGTAGAACTAGAGGATCAGAGAGACGATACCACCAGCTGGATGTCAGGAACCATAGTATAGAAAAAAAGTGTAATTAGTAATTTTAAAACTTTCATACATGTTGTTATATTAACTCAATCATAGGAAGCCATTGTTTGATAAAATTCAGACATGGGAAGCCAAGTTGTAGCCAAGTTGTACAAGTTGTTCAGATAATGCTTCACACCTTGCAGTTCAAATTTTAATGTCCTTTGTTCTGAAGCCAGTAATCTGTTGGAGGTTGATTACAGGGAGTTATTAACGGTGACCACCAGGAAGAGGGTGGCCTTTTGTATGAAGTAACCAATCAGTTTAAAAGTTACATGATACAAGTAAGACTTCTCTCCTCCTCTCTCTATCCAGTTTCCATTCTACCTCTACTCTCTACTTTCTACATCTTACTCTCTTCTACCTACTTCCCCAATCATTTAAGTTCACAGGATTTTTATGCTAAACTTTATCAGTTGAACTGTCCATCACGTAACTTAAAAACTGATTGGTTACTTCATACACAAGAATTTTCAAAATATGCAAAAAATATTTATAACTAAAAATGGTACAATCAAAGTTTAGTTCATCTTAAGGTAGGTCAAAGGTCAATTTCAAGGTCACAGTAAATTACCAGTATATGACTTCCTATTCAACTTCAATAGTAACTATGGACCTATCTCTGCCAGGTTTGGAGTTAAAAGAGAAAGAAATTAGCAGAGTTCAGTTCATGATAAAAAGTAGGTCAAAGGTCAATTTCAAGGTCACATTTAGATTGCCAGTATATGACTTCCTATTCAAGTTCAATAGTAACTATGGACCTATCTCTGCCAGTTTTGGAGATAAAAGAGAACCAAAATTTGCAAAGTTCAATTCATGATAAAAAGTAGGTCAAAGGTCAGTTTCAAGGTCACATTTAGATTGCCAGTATATGACTTCCTATTCAAGTTCAATAGAAACTATGGACCTATCTCTGCCATTTTTGGAGATATAAGGGACTAAATGTTATAATTTTGGAGTTACAATAGTGTGCCATAAATTCCCTACAGAAAAAATTAATTAAAATAAAGAAAAGGTCATTTTGGTTGAAATTCTTGAAAAGGAAGGTGCTCAGAAGTTCCAGATGTTCAAATTTCATGAAATAATGTCATTTTTGACCAGAAGTTGTCTGCCTCGCCAAGCCTTATGTTTTATTTTCCCGGGGTTCAAATTTTATTATCCATTACCGTGCTGCACATTTTGCTTTCACCACCAATATGTACTTTTTGATACAGCGTATATGGAATACAAAAAAACGGAGACCACCTACAGTGTTGGGCTTTACATGCTCTACAAAATGCAAAAAAGAATGGGTCTCTAGAATGGGAAATTGACCTTTGACCTACCTTAAGATGAACTAAACTTTGATAGCATTAACGGTTCCCGAATTAGAGACAGTTTTCAGTTTCGGTATCTTATGGCCGCTACTCCCGTGAAAATGCACCGACTGACCCCAAATTCACGGAGATGAAAGATGACCCGATGTGTGACACTTTCCAATAATATCAATTGGTTAAGTCTGTGTGGTGTCTGAATAACAGCGCAAATAATTTTTTTTTTGTAAAAAATTTCATTTTTTTGAAAATTTTGGCCCGTTTGACCTTGAAATAAGGGTCAAAGATCAAATCCAAGGGTATATTTGAAATCTCCACATATGACCTTTGGAAAGCCGTCTGTAGAAATTTTTCCCATCATTCCTTCCGTAGGGTAGATAATTAGCATTTAATTTTGCCATTTTTGGACAAGGGTGCATTGCAATGAGTGCCACACCTAGACCCAATACCGACAAAGCCCAGTTTTACGTGGAACGAGTTGAGATTATAGGTGACCTAAATCCAAGAGGTGGGTACAGAGGCCCTTACTGTCTAGGAGGAGAAGCAGTAACGGTAACATGGCGGCGGAGCTGGCAGAACGGACCGGACGGGACTAAAACCATGTGTACCGCCAGCAACAACGCTGGTGGTACAATTATAGACAGAACTCTGTTAAAGTTGGATCCTCTGAGGATGTCACTGGGGGAATATAACATTATTTGAAGGGGGAAGGGCAGTTTTCTTAGGAATCACAGGCCTCAGATGTGTAGAGAAGCCAACCCTCGCCCAGAAAAAAATTGGTGTTTTGAACAGTGCCATTTGGTAGGGTTCTGAACTATAAGCCAGCTAGTCAAAATTAACATCAATAGTCCGGTGGCTTAAGGAAAAAATCGTGACACGGCGGATAAAAGCACCAAATTTTGCATGTGGGTACCTTTTGACATACTAAATCAAATTAAAGCCGTAGCCCACGGAAAAAAAATTACCGTTTGGCCAAAAAATTCAAAATGGCCGCCAATTTGTGAAATTATGTAGAAATATATACATACCTATGTTGATTTTTATCAAATAAATTATTTTCTCAGAGTTTTCCACACTCTTATTACCAATTTTATTCATATATGTCAGATAGCAAACAAGTTCCCTCGGACTTTTTGAAAAAATCCACGATGGCTGTCATATGCCATAGAAACAGCCATAAGAATACTAGTGCACAACTTATACCCGCTAGAAAGATACGTTGTCCACTATCAAATTAAGTCTGTTTCTCAGATTTTTGTTACCCACATAATATGTTTGTGGTGAGTAACTACGAAGTGTTTTTGGGCATTTTGGAAAATCCAAGATGGCTGTCATTTGCCACAGGAATTCTAGTATATGAGGGATTCAACTAATGGCAACTAGAAAGATAAAATTTCCACTATCAAATTAAGTTTGTTTCTGAGTGTTTTCCACATCCTTTCTACACAATATATATGTGGCGAGTAACTAACATGTATTCTTGGGCATTTTGAGAAAATCTAAGATAGCCGGCATATGTCATAGAGCGCATTCTCAACGAATTAAGCCAGGCTTTACAAAGCCGGTGACCTAAAAATGGCGGACGTACATGAAAGAAAAACCGCCTAATCTTTTAATAGTCTCTCCGCCTCTCACACGCCTCCCCACACGTCAACCCTGCGGGGTACAGCAATTAAATCTNGCGTGTCTGAGCAACGTAAAAGATAGCTTCTTAAATATACCTCATGATGGAGTCGCTTTAACTAGCTCTGACGAACAGCGACAATCTGAGGGCGTTCTTCTTCAAAATTTTGCCTGGGGCGCTTCCATATTTGGAAGTCACACGTCACAGCTGTGTCCGCCTGGATCCATATTTGGAAGTCATAAGTCTCGTACGTCACAGGTTTAGCCGCCTGGAGCTGCCTTTCCCGCCTTGCGCTGAAGTTATCTCATGCAGACGAGACAATAAGCATTTTTAGTGCCTGACGCAGACTTACAAGTTTGAATTGAAAATATTATGCAGTCAAAGGTCAGTGCCACAATACAAGCAACATTCTGCTTTAAAAACTGATTTTGGTGTAGCCATTGCGCAGCCCTTACAGTGGTATCGGGCATACAGTGTAGCTGTCAAATTTGGCACATGGCAAGCATGTGTATTGTGCACGTGTATATCTCAGGACTAAATATTCTTTGATAAGCAAAAAATACAAAACATTGGATATATCTTTTCTTTTGAAGAATATTATTTAGATTTTCATTTTTCATCTTAAATACAGTAAATAAAAGTTTAAAAAGCAGAATTAAATCTGTTTTACGTTTCATTTTGGTCTGATGACATTCAACTGCAAATTCACTTTCGAGCAGTTCTATTTGATTGACGGAAGGGTAACATGGCCGCCGTTCACTAGAGCCGGTATTGTTGATATGGGTTATATATGAAATCAAGATCGAGCTGGCAAAACCGGAATCTAGAACCTACGGTATCTAACACTGATCACTCCTGTGATTTTCTAGACAATAGGCCTATTGGTTTTCCTTGAAATGCATTATCAGGATTGCATATACCGGTATGCTGACAAAAGAGAAAACCTAGGGACAACACTGGGCATATCTCTGCTAGTTTTGAAGATATGAAGGGCAAGAAAATATGCAGAGTTCAGTTTGTGGTAAAAAAGTAGGTCAAAGGTCAATTTCAAGGTCACAGTATATGACTTCCTATATAAGTTCAATAGTAGCTATGGGCATTTCTTTGCCAATGTTGGAGATATGAAGACCAGGAAACATGCAAAGTGCAGTTCATCATACATGGTAGGTCAAAGGTAAATTTCAAGGTCACAGTAAGATTGCCAATATATGACTTCCTATTCAAGTTCAATAGTAACTTTGGACCTATCTCTGCCAGTTTTCGAGATATAAGGGATAGAAAATTTGCAAAGTTCAGTTCATGTTGAAAAGTAGGTCAAAGGTCAATTTCAAGGTCACAATAAGAATGCCAGTATATGACTTCCTTTTCAAGTTTAACAGTAACTATTGGTGTATCTCTGCCAGTTTTGGAGATATAAGGGCTGGAAAATTTGCAAAGTTCAGTTCATGATGAAAAGTAGGGCAAAGGTCAATTTAAATGTCACAGTTAGATTACTTGTATATAACTTCCTTTTCAAGTTCAATAGTAACTATGGGCGTATCTTTGCCAGTTTTGGAGATATAAAGATCAGAAAACTTCAAAGTGCAGTTCATCATGAAAAGAAGGTCAAAGGTCAATTTCAAAGTCACAGTTAGATTACCAGTATATGACTACCTATTCAAGTTCAATAGTAACTATGGGCATATCTCTGCTAATTTTGGAATATTTAACATTTTCCCCACTAAATATTGCAATGTTGTAATTTTTGATATATAGCGCAATGCCTAAACCATATCGAAAGCAAAAAAATGGATACCACCTCCAGTATTGCACTTGATAAGTTCTACAAAATGCGATGAACAAAAGGTTTCTGGCATTTACCATTCCAGAATAAAAGCAAGTTTTCAGTTTCGGTATCTAATGGCTGCTTCTCCCGTAAAAATGCACCGATTGACCCCAAACTCCCAAAGATGAAAGGAGTCCCCAATTGTAACCCCTCACTATAACAGGAGAGCTTAGATCTGTGTAGTTTCCAAAAAATAGCACAAACTAATACTTTTTTACAGAAAATTCCCATTTTTAGAAAGTTTTGGCTTGTTTGACCTTGAAAAAAGGTCAAAAGTCAAATCCAAGGGCATATTTGGAATCTCCACATATGACTTTCGGTCAGACTTCTGTAGTAATTTTTCCCATAATTCCTTTNGCAGTAAGATTGCCAATATATGACTTCCTATTCAAGTTCAATAGTAACTTTGGACCTATCTCTGCCAGTTTTCGAGATATAAGGGATAGAAAATTTGCAAAGTTCAGTTCATGTTGAAAAGTAGGTCAAAGGTCAATTTCAAGGTCACAATAAGAATGCCAGTATATGACTTCCTTTTCAAGTTTAACAGTAACTATTGGTGTATCTCTGCCAGTTTTGGAGATATAAGGGCTGGAAAATTTGCAAAGTTCAGTTCATGATGAAAAGTAGGGCAAAGGTCAATTTAAATGTCACAGTTAGATTACTTGTATATAAATTCCTTTTCAAGTTCAATAGTAACTATGGGCGTATCTTTGCCAGTTTTGGAGATATAAAGATCAGAAAACTTCAAAGTGCAGTTCATCATGAAAAGAAGGTCAAAGGTCAATTTCAAAGTCACAGTTAGATTACCAGTATGTGACTACCTATTCAAGTTCAATAGTAACTATGGGCATATCTCTGCTAATTTTGGAATATTTAACATTTTCCCCACTAAATATTGCAATGTTGTAATTTTTGATATAGCGCAATGCCTAAACCATATCGAAAGCAAAAAAATGGATACCACCTCCAGTATTGCACTTGATAAGTTCTACAAAATGCGTTGAACAAAAGGTTTCTGGCATTTACCATTCCAGAATAAAAGCAAGTTTTCAGTTTCGGTATCTAATGGCTGCTTCTCCCGTGAAAATGCACCGATTGACCCCAAACTCCCAAAGATGAAAGGAGTCCCCAATTGTAACCCCTCACTATAACAGTAGGTACCGGCAGCAAGCACATAAGGCACAGAAAAACCTGAAAGGGCCAAAAAGGTCATTTTCAAGGTTTAATTTCAGTATAAAATTTAATAGTAACCCCCTATTTTTTTATACCATATAAAAGGGCAGGTGTTGCTCTTTCAAATCATATAGAACAAAGCTAGATTTGACATTAAAAAACGTAGTCTAATAAGAGTTGATTAAAACATGTTACGCGCAGTTTAGCAGCATTGTACAGCTGCTGACAGCACAGCAGCGCTTAGGTGCAAATGCGCTCCTTGACAAGGCATTAGAAAACGTCTCGGGGATTTTCCGCTATTACTTGCACACGCGTGTTTTTGTTGTCATCTGAAAGCTGAAAAGAAGAGCTAGCCAACGAAGTAACATTCGAAAATATCCACCAAGGAAAAAATATAAAAGTCGACCAAAAAAGGTAAGTTTTAAAGATTTGTCGAAAGAAAAACTAAAATATTTATATAATGCAAATTATTTACCCCCAACAAACTATTTATCAAAATAAAGTGCAACTTCTGTAGATTTTAATGATATTCGAAACTAAATTACAAATCCACGGGCGCAAATTCTCCAGGCGATCAAAGATATCAACCCGTGTGCCGTCAACAACATGGCTGTGCCCGCGAAGAGCGTGTTGAAAGCTCCTCTGCCGTTTTTATCATAAAATTTGTGTCTACTTGTCTAATTTAGGGACAATGAAAGGTAAGAAACCCCCTAATCTAGTCACGGTCACATTGCTTTTGGCATTTCTTGACGAAATATATAAAATATGTCCGAACTACTTCAATATGTATGTGGTTTTGGGGTAAAGAAAGTTGAGTGAATTTGGTTCGTATTACGGACGAGGCCTCAGGCAAACAATGGACTTCAGAGCTTTCCTAGTGTGTCCATATTAAAAATGTTTCTGTTTTACTGGTGTTACATATGATCTAAAAATTGTACTGATTTAATTTAAGGACATAGGGCCTCATATTTTTGAAGATAATTAATTTTCTACTGCACACGATCGTGAGCGATTATACTAGGCCTACGACTTTTTTAGTAGAGCTATAATAAAATACATCGTATTTGACAGGAAGTAACTGATGCTATAATTTATTCATTGTTTAAAATTGCAAACACTTATTTCATTTATTCAAGGCAATATATTTTGACAGTGTTGTTTACCATTTTAGGCCATAAGCAGAACTCGGGAATGGCCAGCCCCAACACAAGCTGGAAGGAGTGTGAATTGCCTGAAGAAATTATCAGTTGAATAGGTAGTAATGGTACATATTCTGCTCTCATTGGCAATAATTTAGGCCTTACTGCTGTATATAAAGAAATATTTAAGAAACTTATATTTTTAGCATAATTCTTAAAATTAAAAAAGGGAAATTAACTTATTAAAATATTGTATGAAGATATCAAAATTAATTTTAGAAAATTTAGTATTTTTTAGATTGGGATATTTCTTACTTTCACAACATGATGCTTCGTGAAACTACTCAATGTTTTTACATGTGAAAACCTTTGATCAATTATTTTAGATGACGACTACCTCCATATATTGGGAAAAAATCTTCAGCGTGACAGGACATGGAAGGTGACCGGATCCCCCTGTTGTGCATTGTACAAACAAGCATCGTGTCCAGTTGTTTGTGTTGAGAAAGATTTATGCCTTTTATTAAAGGCTGTTTAATAAATTTAATTTTCATTTGAATTAAGAGGAAAGGAAATTTATTTCAAGTGGGGTCTAAGACAAAAAATAGAAGATAGAAGACAGACTGAATATATGTCTTTGCATGGGACCTTGAACTGAAAACATTATCTGGTCATTGTTTGGAAATTCCTATCTTGAAGGAATTACAGATACTGTACTTAAAATACAAAAACATAGTTTGTTAAAGCAGTGAAATGCAGTTTTATGCATTGCAAAGAATAAGAGTACTTGTGAAATAAAAGTAAGACTGCTCTGGATATGAAATGTTGGCATAATAAATCAACAGGACAGTAGAATTACTGAATGCAAGCAGATTTTTCGGGTATTTATACGGTGTTTTGCCCATTTGAAAAAAAATATGTTATCTAAATACTTTGTAAATGCAATATTGTTAAAGATAAGGTTATTAGCTTTCCAATGATACCTTTTTCAAGCCTGTGGCATGAATGGTGACTGAGTAATCATCAATTTACTTTTGCAATTCAGTTAAAGTACATGCAATGGTAGAAATTCCGTCTGCGATATTGCATTTTTTTCTAATTTTGCATGCTATTTATAGAAAAAGTATTATCCCAGTGTATTTGAAAAAAATTAGACATGATATCTGTATATAGTTGTGCCATTTAAAACAAAAATTGTTAGCGTTTACCTGTAGAATAACAAATAATGAATGCATCAATTTGCTTGTATGTGAATAATCAGCATTGTTTTATTATGGCCGCTTGATACAAAATAGGATTTTCATTGCAGAGTATCTCAGAAACGGTTATTTTTTCCAACATGAAATTATGTATTTTACTTCTATGTATATAGTTGTAAGTAATGCATTACTTAAATACTTACTGATATCATTTCTGATCAGTACAGAGTGTCTGTAAAATGGCAAAAAATAACGGAATCTCTATTAACGTGAAACGTCTATTTTACTAAAACTTAAATTGCTCATATCTCGGGAACTGTTGGTGCTAGAGAGTCAAATAAAGTATCATTGTACATCATTTCCAAAGTTCTTTCATTTGGTGCATTGTTTATACCTGTAAATATTGAAATAAAAAATGGCTGCCGGTACCTAATAACAGGAGAGCTTAGATCTGTGTAGTTTCCAAAAAATAGCACAAACTAATATTTTTTTACAGAAAATTCCCATTTTTAGAAAGTTTTGGCTTGTTTGACCTTGAAAAAAGGTCAAAAGTCAAATCCAAGGGCATATTTGGAATCTCCACATATGACTTTCGGTCAGACTTCTGTAGTAATTTTTCCCATAATTCCTTTGGTTTGGGAGATATTTAGCCTTGAATTTTCAAAAATTTTGACAAGGGTGCATTTCAACAAGTGTCACGCCCAGGCCAATGCACCAACAGAGACAAAAAAAACCAGGTTGTTCAAGTTGAGATTATATGTGACCTAAATCCAAGAGATGGGGACACAGGTGCTGGCAGTCTAGGAGGAGAAGCGGTAACGGTGACTTGTTTCCGGCCCCCCGACTGCAGAGCCGGCGGAGCTGTACGAGACGGGTTGGGACTAAAACCATGAGTGCCGCCAGCGTGTACACTGGTGGTACTAATAATGAGACTGTTAACATGCCTAAGAATTGAATCTGAGGAAATGTGAAATGCAGATTTTTGAACTTGACCTGCGTTTTAGTAAGATTGATTACTCCTGTGAGTTTCATGACAACAGCCTTCGGTTTTCCTTGAAATGTGTTTACAGTGTTGTATATATGCTGAAAAGTGAAAAAACAGCATAACTTCTACAATAATCGCCCGATCATGCTGATTTTTGAACTTGACCTGCGTTTTATGAATATTCATCAGCACTGTAAATATAAAGCCAAAAAGTAAAACGGTCTTCCACTTATCGTGTTTATGCTGAAAGTGCAAGGCGACGACGGCGACGACAGACGCAGGTGATGGCAATATGTACAGACACATCTGTGTCTGTACATAAAAAGGAATATGAAGCCTACAAGGATTGTCATTTTTAATTCAAGCTCTGACATTACAATCTAAAACATTTAATTTAAAAGGCAACCCATATTGAGGAATACTTCTGTCATATCAAGAAGAAACTCACTTTAAAGGAAACTTGGGCTCATCCTCGCCCTGTAGGACATCAAGATTATCCATCCGTCCAGGAACAAGGTATCCCCATCCCAGATTATCATCAAAATGGACAGGAAAGCCTTTCCATGTCATACGCATCAATTTTGGCGTGTCATTCTTCCGCATGGTGATAAGTGTTGGACCATAGGACCAAGGTACTTCACCTAATTTCGGACAAAACTTCTTGAACCACAATGGGTAGCCAGGCATGTGTGCAGAGACTTTGTACAACAGATTTTTTGTAGACAGAACCTTACTAACTATGTCAACTGTTGTCTCCTCTGTCTGCAAAAAAGGTAAATGTATAGAGTGATGTTTACAGCACAAAGAAAATGCATTCCATAAATTTCATATAAAAAATGTATTACTGTAAAATAATTGATCTTTCTTCAAGTTTTTACTTACCTCATGTTCTCAATTCTTCTTCCACATTTATATGTTTTTCATTTAAAATAATGAGCAGTAAGTTCATCATATACAGAAATCAAGGCAGCAAAGCTGTCAAATGTACAGACAAAAACCAGAAAATAAAAATGCAATGGATTGAAGTCGAATGCTACTGCATCAGATGCCATAGAACTTCTACGCCGATCCAGACAGCTCTATGATAAGCTAGGCATTCGTCTTGGCATCTTGAACTCTATTGCAGTCATCCAATCAGTTCCACTTGGTGATCGAGCCCACGACTGTGATGTCATTGACATGAATGCAGACAAGTACTTACCCGAGAGAGCCCTTGGTGTTCAATGGTGTGTTGACCAGCTTCAGTTCCGAATACTACTCAAGGATAGGCTATTTACTCAACGTGGCGTATTGTCTATGATCAGCTCGATCTTTGACCCGCTTGGATTTGTCGCTCCAATTGTCATGGTCAGCAAGCGCATTCTACAGAACTCTGTGCTGAGAATTTGGACTGGGACGACCCCATACCTGACAACCTTCGATCAGGGTGGGAGCAATAGAGGCTTCGTCTTAGCTCATTGGAATATATTGGTTTGAAACGCTGTTACAAGCCGCATGAATTTGGTTCAGTGTCGATTGCTGAAATGAACCATTTCTGTGACCCCAGCGCAGGAGGCTACGGACAGTGTTCGTATGTATGGCTCGTGAACGAAAAAGGACAAATACACTGTTGTTTACTCATGGGTAAAAGCAGGGTAGCACAGCTTAAGGCCGTTTCCATTCCGAGACTTGAGCTGACAGCATCCACCGTATCTGTGTAAGTAGCGTCTCTCCTATGCTCCGAGCTGGAATTTGAGAACCTGACTGAATACTTTGGACAGATAGTCGGATAGTACTCGGGTACATCAATAAAGAGGCACGCCGATTCCACACTTACGTAGCCAACAGAGTACAAGTGATTAGGGACTTCACCAAGCCAAACCAGTGGTCGTACGTTTCATCAGAGACCAACCCAGCTGATGTTGCCTCGTGAGGTTTATCTGCCATCGATCTAGCTAATCATGAGCATTGGTTTCACGGGCCTTCATTTTTATGGGAAACTACCATCGCTTCTACGGAACAAAATGATTTTTCTCTTCTCCAAGAAGACACAGAAGTGAGGCAAGCAGTAACAGCGTTGTCTACGTCATCCCACTTGTCAATTCTGGTTCGACTTGAACGTTCGACTTGAACGTTCGACTTGAACGTTTTTCTGCCTACGCTATCGCCAAATTTTGCGTCCAAAGGGTCAGAAGGCACACTCGCCGATCACTGTTGACGTAATAAAAGGAGCGCATATGAAATTTTCAAACACGTGCAGGCCGAGGCATTCCCGAATGGGGATAAGGAACAGTCTCTGAGAAAGCTCAACCCTTTCTTTGATAAGGAAGGACTTCTGAGGGTTGGAGGACGAATACGCATGTCACCCTATGCTGCTTAAGACATTCGTCGTCCTATTATATTACCCAAATCTCATCATATTACATCACCATGTTTACAGCACGCGCACCGATCATGCGGTGATCAAGGCAGAGGAATGACAGTTAACTACCTCAGGTCAACTGGTATATGGATCATTTCAGCTAGCTCAGCCGCGTCGAAACTGATATCCAACTGCGTTGCATGTAAAAAGACAAGAGGTTCAGTGGGAGAGCAGAGGACAGCAAATTTACCTGCAGATCGCCTGACAGAAAGCCCTCCGTTCACATATGTCGGCGTTGACCGTTTTGGTCCATTCACCGTGAAGGAAGGATTAAAGGAGGTCAAACGTTATGGTGTGCTGTTCACATGTCTTGTATCACGGGCAATTCACATTGAGGTGGCAACCGCGCTGACAACAGACTCCTTCATAAACGCATTGCAATCAGTTTTGGTTTAGATGGCGCAAAGAGTATTTGCAAATCTTACAAGTGAGACAAAAATGGTTAAGGCCTAGACGAAATTTCTGTGTTGGAGATATTGTTTTGATTAAAGATGAGAATTTACCAAGAAATTTTTGGTCATTAGCAAGAGTTGAATGTGTTTATCCCAGTGATGATGAGCATGTCAGAAAAGAAAAGGTAGCAATGAGTACTCATGCATTAGATTCTGCTGGTCGAAGGTTAGATCCAGTTGTGTTTTTGGAAAGGCCAATTCAGAAGTTGGTACTTTTAGTACCTGATAATAATTAATGATTTATTACAGGGTTTAATCCCTAACAGCCAATTGTTATCATAAACATATGACATTTTGCTGAATTCATAATTTAAAAGTTTGATGGTATAGTAGTTATGGAATTCAGTTGTTACAAAACATCATTTCATCATTTTATATGGATGTAATGCATGAATAAATTGTAATTGCTATATCTTAAGGACACACTGTACATACTTTATTGGTTATCTATACTTGTTGTTTGTTTTTTGTTAAAGTATGTATCTTTATTCATATAATCATTTAGAACTTTTCAGATAATAGTTCAGTAAACAGTTGTGGCGTCTTCTCTAGAAAATAATGTAGGAGCACATGATTAAAGGGTAAATGCTTGATTAAAGAATGAAGAAGTTGTAAAGAATTTATAATGTTATTTCTATGGTATCCTAACGGTCAAAGGTCATTTAATGTTATTGTATGTCAATGATATCATACAGTATATGGTTTATTAATTATATTTATGGTTTATCTACTTTATAAACGGTTTATTAATTATATTTATGGTTTATTATTACTTATATACGGTTACAAATACGGTTAACGGTAATGTTATCTATGGTATATAAGATCATAGGTGATAAGTAAATGGAATCCATGATGTAAGGTTATTAGTGCTTGTCAATTCAATTTGTGATTTAAAACGCCACAAATATAATGTATGTTTAAGTAATATTAATATAAAAAAATTAGTTATTTTTTGGGGAGCCATGTAACTGCAACACATGTATTAGTGACAAGTGAGAGTAGTCAGTGAGATGTGTTCGTGTCACATGACACAAAGGTATAAAGTTGAGATCCCGCCCTTACATTTTCAGCAACACGGGTCTCCGGGATCGTATAGTTTTATGTTTTCATTAGTTTTTATCAGTTTCAGTTTTACTCATTTCAAATCAACTTAATTTCTGTTCACATTTATTTATGCAGTAAAAACTCATTATATACTCCAAGGCAGTTTCTGAGTTGTAAACGGTACTGTCAAGGCAACAACCGGTGCTGCATATATGCTGAAAAAAAGTGAAAAAACAGCATAACTTCCCTAAAAATGGCCCGATCATGCTGATTTTCGAACTTGACCTGCATATTATGAATATTCATCAGTTTTGTAAGTTTCAAGCCAAAAGGTAAAATGGTTTTCCATTTATCATGTTAACGGTGCTGCACATATGCGGAAAAAAGTGAAAAAACAGCATAACTTCCCAAAAAAATGCTGATTTTCAAAAACTTGACCTGCGTATTATGAATATTATTGATTCTGTAAGTTTCAAACCAAAACAAAAAACGGTTTTCCACTTATCCTGTTATCGGTAAAAGTGCACGGCAACGAGGCCAATGACAGCGATGACGCATCGACAGACGAAGATGATGGCTATATGTACAGACACGTGTCTGTACATAAAAATACTATTTATAAAACTAGAGGATCAGAGAGGCGATACCGCTTCCGGATATTGTACCACCAGCTGGAGTAATATTAGTATTGAAAACCAAAAACAAGGCAGCAAAGCTGTCAAATGTACAGACAAAAAACAGAAAATAAAGATGCAGAAAATAGGTGATTTTGCCAATTTTGATGCAGTAATAAACTAGAGTTCTAGATATTTTTGTTGAAAATTACAATTTAAAACAAAATCATGGGGAAGAGTAAAAGTTTCAATCCAAATTTGTGAAGTGCTATTCAAGAAGGTCAAAAGTCAAATTTAAGATCACAGTTAGATTACCAGTATATGACTTCCTATTCAAGTTCAATAGTAACTATGGGCATATCTCTGCTAGTAGGTCAAAGGTCAATTTTAAGGTCACAGATTGCCAGTTTATATTTTCCTATTTAAGTTCGCTAGCAACTGTGGATATAACTCTCTCAGTTTTGGAGATATCAGAGATAGGAAGTTGCAAAGTTCAGACTTTGCGAAAGGCGTCGGACCGTCGGACATGCCTGGCAAATTTCGTCTTGGTCCGATAAAAAATCCTGTATCGTCGGACCTTATGTCCGGCGAGTTTTCAAACTGACTGGAAATGTGTAAATATAAGGAATACGTTGTTGTTTCTTTTCTGGACGATATATTTTACTTCATTCGAAAAGAGAGACGGGGTGAAAATCTCGGGGAGTTCCCAGCTAATTATACATAATTTATTAACCTCAGTTTCACTCACAAATACTATTTTGTGACTGGCTGAGGTTGGGGGATTCCTGGATGATGTAATGTACAGTCTCGTTTTCGTTTTTGTAATACCCCTAAAAATGGCCGCAACACATGTGCTCGTTCTATTTGCGTTTTTACAGACTTGATCCTCTGTTTCTTCATTATCAGTCGTACACTGTACTCATGGATAAGCCTTTTGTTTAGAAAATGACTTTGTTGAACTTCGTTGGTGCAAAGCGTGGCAAAAATGAAAACGAAGTGAGGAAGAGAAACGGAAGTTTACTAAAATTGGAAAGAAGGTAGGCCCTGGCGGACTTGTGATCTGTAGGAGAGGAAAATAGTGTGAGCCAAGTGTCAGGAGTACTAAAGTTATCATTTTGATCAATAGCAACATAAATGTTACAGCTTTATTACGGGTTCTTAAATTATGGAACATATGTACATATTTGCATGTACCGTTCACCACGAGTTGGAGAAAGTGCACATGAACTTGAGAAAAGCTCACAGTTTGAGTTTCTTTTTATAAAAAAAGAAATAAAGTGAAGAAGGGACTTAGACTCGGGCTGGACAGTCCCTGTCAAAGCTTCAATTGGATGAAAGAGACCGCCTTACTGTGCTGTTTCAAAATGCATATGTTATTGCCAAAAAACAACGTGTGAAATGGTTATCCGATCAACGGACGTTTTTATGGACATACATTTGATATTACTAGCTACACATTCTTCATACTTGTATTGTTTTTAGTCCTTGTGTCATTCCTCAATGTCTTTTTCATTAAATAAAAAACTTGTTATGCAAGTAATTTTTTGTCTATTTTATTTTTTTTTGTTTGTTTGTTTTTTGTTTTTCTTTCTTATTTTACTTTTTTCCTAATAAATATATATCAAAAATTTAATATTTGATTTAATGTCCATTATTTAAAACGTTAGAAAATACACATGAAAATATGTATAATGGTTCATATTTCTATTATTTTACTTCGGTCTGACAGATTTTGTTTCGGTCTGACAGAATTTTCAAGCTTGGCAGACCGAATGTCTGACAGATTTTTTGGCCTTTCGTAAAGTCTGAAAGTTATGTTCAAAAGTAAGTCAAAGATCAATTTCAAGGTCACAGATCGTCAGTATATGACTTCCTATTTCAAGTAAAATAGTACCTATGGGCCCATCCCTGCCAGTTTTGGAGATATAAGGGGCAAAACCCTTGCAAAGCTCAGTTCATGATGAAAAGTAGGTCAAACATCATCAGGTCACAGTTAGATTGCCAGTATATGACTTCCTAGTCAAGTTTAATAGGGTGTATCTCTTCTAATTTTGAAGTTATTTCACATTTCAGTTCAATAGTAACTATGGACGTATGAAGGTCACAGATTGTCAGCATATGACTTCCTATTCAAGTTCAATAGTGACTATAGGTGTGTCTCTGTCAGTTTTGAAGATAAAAGGGACCAAAAAGTTGCAAAGTTTAATACATAGTGAAAAGTAGGTCAAAGGTCAATTTTAGGGTGACAGATTGTTAGTATATGACTTCCTATTCAAATTCAATAGTAGCTATGGCCATATCTATGCAAGTTTTGAAGATACAAGCATTTTATTCTCTTGTACATATTAAATAAAACAATTTTTGTTCATTTAACAAGCAGAGTTTTTTAATAATACATTGTTATGGCCATTGGCAGTCACTCGATACATTTTGTATTTCATTAATACCTTTGATAAAGTTTTCCCAATGCAGAGGCCGAAACATAATGTATGCATTGTTGACTCCGTTGTACAAAATGATACACAAGATAGTACGAGTGACCCCCACGACCGTATATGTATTTCATGATAATTTTTTATAAAAAACTTGCAACATTCAGTTCATGGTGAAAAATAGGTCAAAGGTCAATTTGAAGGTCCCAGATTGCCAGTACATAACTTCCTATTCAACTTCAATAGTGACTATGGGCTTATCTCTGCCAGTTTTGGAAATATAAGGGACTTAAATATTGCAAAGTTCAATTCATGGTAAAAAGTAGGTCAAAGGTCAATTATACGGTCACCGTTAAATTGCCAGTACATGACTTCCTATTCAAATTACATGTTCAAATTTCATGTCAAATTTCTGCTTCTCCAAGCCTTATGTTATCTTTTCCAGAAGTTCAAAATTTTATGCATATTACAGTATTGCACATTTTACTTTCATTACCACAATGTACTTTTTGATACAGCATAACTCGAAAACCATATGGAAAACAAAAAACAGAGACCACTTCCAGTGTTGGCCTTGACATGCTCTACAAAATGCAAAAAAACAAGGGCTCGAGCATTTACGCTTCCTGAATAAGAGAGAGATTTTAGTTTTGGTATCTTATGGCCGCTACTCCCGTGAAAATGCACCGATTGACCCCAAACTCAAGGAGATGAAAGATGACCTGAAGGGTAACACCTGCCAATAATATTATAGGTTGAGACTGTGTATTTTCTGAATTATAATGCAAATAATTTTTTTTGTAAAAAAAAAAAAAATTTTTTTTTGAAAATTTTGGCCCTTTTCACCTTGAAATAAAGGTCAAAGGTCAAATCCAAGAGCATATTTGAAATCTGAAATGAGCGCTACACCAAGACCCCAGAACCGATGAAGCCCAATTTTTTTGTGGAGCGAGTTGAGATTATAGGTGACTTAAGTCCAAGAGCTGGGTACGCAGGCCTTTGTAGTCTAGGAGGAGAATAGGGTAACGGTAACATGGCAGCAGAGCTAGTGGAACTATCCAGACTGGACTAAAACCATATGTACCGCCAGCGCCAACGCTGGTGGTACAATAAACTAAAAACATCCGGTATTTCTTGAGGATTCTTTTGTCTATACTTATATTTGTCTGATCTTACCACCCAATATTTCATCTGCTTGCAGTCAGACTTCATCAGGGAATGAGGTTGTGACAGGTATGACAACCTGTCACCCCCTCTGGTGTGCTATTTGGTCAGATCCCCCCCTCTTGCCTGCCCCTTCCTTAGGAGTGGTAGGTAGAGGTTGGGTAGCTCAGTCCCATCATTCCAATTCAACTTGGCCCCATGTAAGCAGATGTTAATTGCTTCAAGAACTTTTCGGTGTAGATCTCGTGGCTCTCTTATCAAGATTTTTATGTCTTCTATGGTTATTGATGTTATACAATGCCCTATCTGTTCCTGGTGTTGGCTGAGGGCAAATTTTTTATCACGTTTTTTGATGGATTTTTGATGTTCAGTGATTCTTTCTGTTAAGGAACGTCCTGTCTCTCCAATGTATTTCTCCCCACACACCTGACACTCACACTGGTATACAACTCCACACTGTTCTCCTGGGTCTAATTTGTCCTTTGGGAATACAAGGTTGCCTCTTAATGTCTGTGCTGCCTTATGGTGTAAAACTACATTCCTTTTTCTGAATGCTCTTTTTAGCTTTTCACTAACCCCTTTCATAAAAGGTAGTACCGCATATCCTTTGGGTTTTTCTTTTTCGGTCCTTTTCTCTAGTCTTTGTTGTTTTTCTCTTCCTTTCTTTTCCCCTTCTTTTATAGCCCATTCCGGGTAACCACAGTTTCTAAAAGCCACATTGATTTTTTCCTTCTCTATCTCTATCTTGGGTTTCTCTTTTATCAGTGTGTCTGCCCTATGCATCAGCGTCTTGATAATTCCCATCTTCTGTTGGACAGGGTGGTGGGATGTTCATTGAAGGTAGGGGTCTGTATGAGTAGGTTTCCTATAAATGTCTGTTATGATGGTATCATTCTTCCTAGTAAGCTGTAAGTCCAGCATGGGTAATGTCTGGTTGTCATCTTCTCTTTCTATGCTATCATGTTGTGCATTGATATGTTGGAAAAGCTCCTCCTCGTGTTGTTTATGTATTATAACCACTGTATCATCAACGTATCTGGCCCAAAACTTTGGTCGGTGGGTGGCTGTTCTTAATGCCTGCTCTTCAAACTCTTCCATGAATAGGTTGGCCAGGACAGGAGAGAGTGGAGAGCCTATTGCCATTCCATATACCTGTTCGTAAATACACCCTTGGTACTGGAAGTAAGTTGTCTCAATTTTTAGCTTTAGTAGGTCCCCAAACTCCTCTGGAGGAAACAGTGTTCTGTTTTCCCAGGTTTTATCCTTCTTGGTCCTTTCTACTGCCATTGCCTGGTACGCTGGTGAATAGGGCTGTTACGTTAAATAAGGTTAATACCTCCCCTTCTTCCAGAGTGATCTCTTCCACTTTTTTCACCAGGTCTTGTGAGTTGCTGATATGGCTTGGTTTCTTTCCTACTAAAGGTTTCAGAAGATCTGCTAGGAATCTTGCAAGGTTGTATGTAATGGGATTGATACCAGAAACAATAGGACACATTTTTATAAGGTCTGTGGATCTTAGGTGTTGCATAAAATCTCGGGGTAGCATCCGATGTAGGATATATTTTGTTATAGATGATCTGGTCTAAATATCCCTAATTCTTCAGTGCCCTCAATTTCCTTTGTATTCTGCCCTTCATTATTTTAGTTGGATCCTCAGGTATCTCTTTGTATGTGGTGTGCCCATCTAACAGGTGTTTACATTCTTCTATATAATTGTCTCTGTCCATTACCACAACACACTTTCCTTTGTCTGCAGGTACAGTCATTATTTCTTTATTGGTTTTTAGTGACTTCAGGGCTTTTCTTTCCTAATGGCCAAGGTTGTCCTTTGGAGGCTTGGTATTCTTGATGATGTTCACAACTTCATGCCTTGGGGTATCAGCTTCCTCTGGAGGGAGGTGTAATTGTTCGCAAATCACCTCTGTAGTATTAATTATTTCTTTTGTTGGAGTTTTTCTTGGGGGCAAAGGCATAGTTGAGGCCTTTTGCTAATACTTTTATTTCTGTGTCTGTGAGTTGATATTTTGACAACACTTTGCCCCACTTTTTTAATTGTGTGCCAGATAGATCAATGGATTCCTTTTTGTCTTTCAGTGATGTTTTCCCCTGTAGTCTCTAAAGTTTGTTGATCTGAGTTTGTCTGCCTTTCCTGAACACCCTCTCTTCTTCGTTATGGGTGTGTTCTTTGACCATATCCAATAATTCATTGTCACTGATGTTATGGTTCTCCCAACAACTTTTGATGTTGTTTTCCTCATTTTCCTTGTCCCTTTTTAGTTCGTTTATCCTATGTGTTGTGAGATTGATATGTTCCCTAAGCAGCTGTCTTTCGATCAGCATTTTATTTTTTATGATTCTCCTGGCCTTCTCTGTATTGATAGTGGTCTTAGTTTAATACTAACTGGTGTTAAATCTTGTTCTTTGCACTGTAGGTTGAATTTTAGATGGTTCCTGTGCTTGGCTATCTCGGATAATATTGTTTCCCATTTTCTAACTAGATTCACACCTTCTACTCCTAGTTTCTCACGTATAGTGTAGAACAGTTTCATCCCCTGGGGGGGGGATCTGACCAAATAGCACCTGTCACAACCTCATTCCCTGATGAAATCTGACTGCAAGCAGATGAAATATTGGATGGTAAGATAAGACAAAAATAAGTAGCTATAGACAAAAGAATCCTCACAAGTCTATTACAATAACATAGCCAATGATACTGTACTACACTATCTGGTATTTCACTTATAAAAATGAAATCAAGATGTAAATTTCAAAATCAAAATAAAAAAATTCTCCTTTGACCTTCACTTTATCACTCTTAGCTTTTTTCTTGGCAGAAAGCGGTGTTTTTTTTATCCTCAAATTCTGAATAGACCAGTCCAGATCCCACAGCCAAGGGTCTTCTTTGTATCTTAATTGTAGAGAAAATCTTTTAAAAATTAAGATTAAATTATTACATTATTATTAAATTAATATTAAATAAATATTAAATTATTTCTTCCTTAACAGTTCCTAAGATAACTAATTGTGATAGAGCATATTATTACTGAAATTCTATTCCAAATATAGGAAAGATAAAAATATGAGGAAAAAATCAGGACAAAAATAATTTGTAAGCCTGTGATATCTGTAATGATTTCTTCAAAAAGAATCCTCACATTTAATCTATAACTTTTGAGCAATATGGCTGATGGAGATAATCAAAACAAAAACATATAATATAAAAGATGTCTTATCAGGCTGTTTGACTGACCTATTTCCTTCCAAAAGTGAACAAGCATCGTTTGCTATTTTTATCAACATCCGTTCCCTCTCGGACTGCTTGTTATTGTATATTTCCTCTGCAGTTTCCAAATACCTGTTCCAATTAGCATTCAGTGGCAAGTAAGATGAACCCATCTGCAACATCCCTGCTAAAGTCACGGGATGTGGAAACCTTTCAATCAAAATAAAACGTGCTTTACCAAATTTGCTCAATAATAACAAAAATTGCTAACTACCTGCAGGAAATTCGTCTTGATGCTGTATAAAAATGACTCACCTTTCTTGAAAGAGTGGCCACAGAATCTGGAAAACTTGATGAGTAGCTATCACATCATCTGCACAGTAGGACATCAAATTCTGAAGAGAATGAGCATTTAATATAACTAGAGGATCAGAGAGGCAATACTGCCTCCGGGTATTGTATAACCAGCTAGAGTAAGTGCACACGTATGGAAAACAAACAAACAAACAAACAAACAAACAAAAAAAACAAGGCAGCAAAGCTGTCAAATGTACAGACAAAGAACAGAAAATAAAGATGCAAAAAACTGTTAAATTGCCAGAGAAATTTACCAAACAGTATGCGTTGCCTATTGAAGCTGTATTTTAGTCCCATATTTCTTTCCTATAAGTTTGAGAACAGTAAGTGACATGATTTCCCTTAAATGGTCATCATAGGAGCAGTGCCCAAAATAGGGGTTTCTTCAAATTTTGATACAACATTAAATAATGTTTAACAGCATAATGACAATCAAATGTTATTAATAAAATATTAGTAACATGGACATTCAGAAAATGTGACAAGCAAAAGTCTTCAAGATCATGGAACTTTAAAGTCACACCTTGAAAATGCCAATATGTGAAAAATTAAATTTTCACAAAAAACTGTTTAACTGCCAAAAAAAAAATAAATAAATAAATAAAAATACCAAACAGACTGCATTGCCTACTGAAGCTGTATTTTAGTCCCATGTTTCTTTCCTGTAAGTTTGAGA